AATTGCAGACTTTATCCTACAAAACAACATTCAGCTGATGCCACAGCCAGCAAGAAGCCCAGATGCAAACTCAATTGAGCACATGTGGGACGAACTTGGTCGTGCTATTCAGAGGAGAAACCTTCCCCCTGCAAATCTAGATGAACTGCGAGTTGCCCTTCAAGATGAATGGACCAGAATTCCTCTCCAAAGAGCTGTAACTCTAGTTCACAGTATGCCACGCCGTCTGGCGGCCAGTATCCAAGCTCGGGGTGGGCATGCCCGCTATTTAGATTAATAATGAACTCTGAAGATGGTTCTTGACAATCCCCCCTAATTTCATATTAATTGTCAATCACAGTATAAATTTATGTTTAATTTTTCACTTGGTACTGTTATGCAAAAAAAGTACTCTTTTTGGGGGCATGAGAAAAAATACCCTAAATAAATTTACGCTTTTTTCACATTTGCATTGTTTGTTTCTCCTTGACTTTACCAATCCTCCAGCTTCACATATTTAACAATATAAACAGTATTAATTTGATTATAACAATAATAATGAAAGAAACAGGGCAATATGCCTCCCAAAATTTCCGTGTACCAACCATTTTGGGCAAGAGTGTATTAATAAGAGATGATTGCATTCTTTGTAAAAACCTCAACCTCGGGGTTGGAATTGCAGAAAATATGTTATTATTATTATTATTTTAACCTTTGACAGAATTTTTTTAATTTATGACAATTTAAATTGAACACATTTTTCCTTTATAAAACATCAGTGTGAAGTTTTGCTTTCAAATAAAACTAACGAAATAGATTTTAAAGCAGTAGACATTTTATTCATGACTTAAGAAGACATACAATCGTCATTTCAACTTGATCATTTTTTTTACTTGCAGTTAATAAATCTGTGACTGTGTTGGCTTATGAGCTTAATATGTTCTGGAATAAATCTGGCCATAAAACTGGAGTCTTAAGCAACTTTGCTGGTCTCGAGCAAGTCACTCTCAGTTTTATTACGCTGGGCCATGGCATCTCTAACAAGAGATGGTGACGTTAAAGTCCCCGCCAACACTATAAGCGCCCACACCTATTATGTACGTCCCACTTTCTATCTGGATTGGACGGATCATGAGTTTAGAGGTCATGTCGCACCCGGTGGCGTCGTCATTGTGGTACAGACTGTCCCGGATGTATTTGCCGCATGTCCCATTCCAAGCTGATTCAACTTGAACTAACGCAGAACACTCAAAAAGAGCCAGTTGTGTGTCGAAGTCGGCGGTGTTGCAAGTGGATACAACGATGTTCCTATTGCCATAGGAAGTGATGGAGTATCGCAGCGATGTCAGATCCGCATCCGTGGGATGATAGCTGCCGGAGAACGAGTGAGTTGTGCCGTCACACTCGATTTCCTGAATGTACGCTGGAAGTGAAAACATACTGTTTAATTTACTTTCAAAACGGTTGCAAAATTAACGGATATGCTGCAAAAAAGAAGGAAAGCACAAAATAAGCTTCATCCCTTTTACATGTCAAGCTGCACAAAGTTACATCATTATATCTGTTTTTTTTTTTAAATACACTTTATGTATGCTTATTGAAGATGAACCCGAGGATATGACCATTATATCTGTGAGGCTCCTAATGCCACTTACTGATTGCGGTCTTTACTGATATAAATACTGTAGCACGGGAAAGCATGCATTTCCATACCTTATAACTGAAATGCAATCTAATGGAATAAAATAAAAGCTTGTCAGATAGAAAATAACTGAGATTTAAATTTACTTCTCGCTTAATGCAATACCATACTCACAGCACCGTTGTGGAAGTTGAGCTGAAAAATTAAAAAAAGATGAGATACTTTGAAAATGCATGCATTTTAAATAGATTTTGATTTATTTGAGTAAAAATCTTTATTTCAGCACCAAAATACACAACATTTCACAATATGAAGTTTTCCTGTTTGCTATGCACTTTGAAAGAGCCTATAACGTGATAAGTGAACTATAATTCATTGCTATAACGCTTTCTTTAAAAATGATAAAACCAGTGTGATTTCTCTCTATAGATTGGAAACAAACTGTAGATCATAATATTCTAAGTTTGATGTTCTACTTACAACATCCCGCTGCCTCTGAAGAAAAAAAAAGCAAAAATGTACTCGCAAAATATATAGCCACAATATATCATAAATGACAAGAACGGTTATGTACATTAAGCGTCTTATAAGCCCGAAGGGCTGGGTGATTTTCTTAGTAATGTAACACATGGTTCTGTAGTGAATGAATAAATACATTTTACACAACAGCATGCCAGATGAACAATGGAAATGGGATTCTATCATCAGAGCTGCAGTGAGAAATATGAAAATTATCGATAAGGTGATTAAATGAATGAAACCCTTGGGTGAGAACCAGAACAGTGAAAAACATTTCATGTTGAATTACCAAAGGAAAAAAGAGAAATCAGCGAAAACTTAACTTTCACAAAGCAATACACAGACCTGAACTTTTAAGGATAGATGCAGACAAGTTATATAGTTTCTGTGTTTAGATTAAAGTGTTTAAAACGCCATTTTTTTTAGTTCTAAACCGTACCAAAGGGCACTGTTTACAGGACCCTTGAGCAGACCCCAAACCCCACACCAAGGGGGCGATGGTCGGCTTCGCATCCGAGGCCTGTCGTTCCGGACCCCCCATCAAATAATCCTGGATCGCCCCTGTACTTAATATTAAATCTATGAGTACCTTGTAACAATGTATAAAGATTCAAACATCGTACCACCTGGATCGATCCAACCCCGCTTAATTGCTGATAGTGTAATCAGTTTAATTGTATGACACGATTCCTTGATGCTAGGGGATAATTCACTTTCGTGTGCGCGCGGCTTATTAGCCCCTAGCAGCTAGAGTTGTGTCTGGCATTTAAGCCAATAACAGTGATTGCACTTACGTGATGGGGGTGGTCGGCTTATGCCCTAGTTAGATTCCACTTTACCAAAATAACACGATTCAGAGCTGGGCCTCCGAGGACGTGTGTTTTGACAGCGCCCCTTGCAGAGTTGAGAGCGGCTTTTACAGCCCATTTCCATAGATTTTTAGGTCGATCTATCCCTGCGGGGAGTCTCACTAGATTACTGTCAGCTTGGCCGGCTTAAGCGTCTGTCCCGCCTACTAAAAGCTGTAAGGGGGTAATTAACTATGGTGCCCGCTCGGCTGACTGCAATTTAGCGCGAACCCCCAAGGAGTTAGGTCGATCTAAAACTCAATTTTTAGATCGATCTAAATCTCTGGGAAAGCACCCTTAGAGTGTGATAGGCTTCTCGCCTTTATTATGAGGAAAGATCGTTTCTGATAAGTAGGTAGATAGGTGTCTCGTCTACCTAGTATGAGATTTATAGATACCGATATATATATATATATATATATATATATATAGGGTGCCCTGAAAAGGGCTTTTCGTGATTGGTACGATAGAGGCGTCTCGCCTGTTGAGGGAAGGGGGAGGGTGGACTGGTTGCAGAAA